TGCGTGGAATTCTTCCGGGAGTTGGGCGCAGAATTCAGCTGCGGATATAGGGCCGATATCATAGTTGGTAATTCGGGCAATGTGTCCAATGCAAGATAGCCTTGTAAGGAGGAAGCGCTCATGCTGGCGGGTGCCAAACGGCCGGTTGTCTGGTTTGAGGATTGACCGGTTGAAGGCGATTAGTTCGGTGATGATGCATTGCATGCGTAGGGAAGGGCCATGAATGTCCAGGGGAAGGGAGAGGAGATCTTTTAGTTCGTCTAGCGTCCGAGGGGGAATGAAAGTGGGGAGGTAGTCTCGTTCAAGGATAGCTTTATGGGTGAGTAAATCGTGAAGCCCGAAGGGGAAAGGGGTCAAGGTGCGTGTAACTTCCTTAGAAGGGGTAGGTCCAAAACTGTGCAGGGCCCGCTCGATAGCGAGAGCTTTGACTTGCGTAGATGGGGCGATTGCCTCAACCCCGCCGTCTTGGGGGGGGTTGTATAGGAGACCTTTGGAGATTAATCGTCGTGCGAGGCCATCTTGATTATGTTCTAAGGACGAAAGGAAGTTCCCGACTGACACGTCCAGTCGTTTGATGGTGTCCGGTGGTGCGGGTTGGAAGCGTTCGGGATAGGAGATGACAATGTTCAGAAAGATCGAGGACAAGGATTTGCGGCACGTGACGGTGGCATGTAAGGCTGCCAGGAATTTGGCGGTGCTTTTTATGCGGGCAAGAGCCTTATTCCAAGTAGTGGAGCCGGGGTGGATTCGCTCGACATATATTCCAGAGATGCGTTCTGCTTCGTTGAGGGCTCGGGCGGGTTTAGGCCCGGCGTGCACGAGGTCGGTTGGGGGGATGTTGAAGGGAATAATGGAGCATTTGTTCCAGTTGGGGACCTCTCCAGAAACAGATCCGAAGACGCCTAGGAGCATCACTACCAGGCCGAGCTCTGTATCTGAGGTGAGGAAGAGAGTGACATCGTCCGCGTTGCAAGCCATGAGGCGGCGCTAAGCAAGGGAAATAGCGAAGCCAGGGAGAAAGAGGGACATAGAGTGGTGGAAGATCTCGATGACGTAGACGAAGAGCAGAGGCGCCAAAGGACAGCCCTATCGGACGCCCGTACGGACGGGGAAGGTGGGGCCGAGCATGTTGTTGACCAAGATTCGTGTGGACGTGTCGGAGAGCATTAGTCGGACCCAGTGGATGAAGGGTCCGGGGAGACCGAGGACCGTTAAGGCTTGGAGGAGGAATGGTTGATAGACAAGGTCGTAGGCATTTCGAAAGTCCACTGTAAGAGCGAGAAGGGGGAACGAGCTGTGGGGGGAAGGTGATCGAGCCACGATCTGTCAAATACAAAGGCAACGGGTGCTTCTCTTCACGGCATTGGCACCCTGAAAAATCTTCGTTCACTTTATCTTGAGAAGACCACGATAGTCGATGCAGGCATATCAAAGCTCCAGGGGCTGCCACTCGAGTCGCTGTCCTTAGATCTTTGTGTGTGGATTACTGCTGCCACCATGGTGCATGTCAGAAAACTGGCATCACTCGAGTGTCTCAAGCTGAAGAGCAGAGAGGTGAGGGAGGACGGGCTGAAGCACTTGACTGCCATCACCTCACTGAAGGTCCCCAGCTTGTGTTCATGGGTCACGGATTCCAGCATGAAGCTTCTGAGGAATATGAAACAACTGGAGAAGTTGGGGTTTAGGAGAGGCCAAATACCTGTTGCAGGTGTCAAGTGGCTCAAGGGGCTCAAGCATCTCCAGGCAGTTGCAACAGGTGATGGGTATGCCGAGGGGCTCATCAGGGACAATTTTCCTGAAATGGTTGTCATAGAAGGTCCGCTCTGAAAATTCTACTAATGCTCCAGGTTTGTTATCATATGTGTAAAGATATAATGCATGCAGCTGTTTGTTATAATCAAAATAGTAGTTTTTCCCAGCATCCGCATGGGCGGGGAGGTGGAGGGAGAGGAGAGGAAGGGGAGAAGGGTGGGAAGGACGGAAGACTGGGATGCACCTTGTTGCCCAAGATGCACTGCTAGATGCACCACCAGACGCGTGTTTCCAGTGATGCTTAACACACATACCGTATGGCCCCGGATATAAGCGCAGGCCTATGTTAAGCGCATGCGCTTGTATCTGGAGCAATGCGCTTATGGCCGATCCTCAATTATAAGCGCACCCCTTGGAAAATCGTGACTTATTATAAGCGCACCCTTTTAGTTAAAAAAAATATCTTTTTTTTTTAAACCTACCTAGCCTACATGTTCTAAACTTTCCATTAATTTTGACAATCACATACAAGGGTGGTCTCTGCTGTCCTGCACTACACACCTTTCAACCTGCCTAGTCTACCCTACTGCCTATTCTTCCTCCTCGTCCGACTCGGGCTCCGTGGAGTTGTTGCCCCGGAACCCATCTGCCTGGATGTCGTCGTCCACCTCCACCTCATGGGACAACTGGCCTCTCCGGTGCGCCAGCACCAGTTTGTCTTCGCTCCCATCAAGGGCGTTGCTGATGCCGCACGTGAGGAAGGCTTTCTTGATGAGGTCGGCGGGCACCGCCTTCCACGCCCGTGAAATCCACTTGAGCACCACCTCCGGAGGTGGTTTCTTGATGTTCCCTGCATCACACGGAGTGGGGCGGGGAAAACATGAGACTAGTAAACAGGCATACAAGCTCAAGATTTGCAGACGGGAGCATTTGTCGTCACTCACCTGCCGGGGTCAGGATGTTCATGCCGTCCTCCTCAAACCAATTCTGGTACTGCTGACGAATGCTTGCTTTGAAGCTCTTATTGATCGACACATCGAGGGGCTGCAGGTCTGCCGTGCATCCCGCCGGAATGATCGCAGGCATGATGTTGAGCGCCGCGAATCTCTCCTTGACTTCTGGTGTCAGGTGACCGCGATAGGAGTCGAGCACCAGCATGGCGCTACGACTCTGCAGGCCGAATTTCGGCTTCAGGAACGGCACCACGCCCGTGTTGAGCCACTCGATGACACCATCGGCCTCCATCCACCCGTTCGCTTGGCAGCCGACCACAACATCTGCACGCAAGGAAAAAGAACGGTTGACGACTCTGGTAGTAACGGAAATAAACACGCGCGTCGATCACTTACCGTTCGGGAAGTCACCCTTTGGGAGTGTCTTGCGTGAAAAACACCCACGGCTTCAGCTTCTCGCCCGTCGCCGTGCACGCAAGCATGACAGTCACTCTCTCCTTCTGGTACCCACCGCTGCGGATGGGCACCGACCTCACGCCCGTCTGCTCCACGGTGGTCGTCGCCGGCATCTCCAACCACAGCGGTGTCTGGTCGGCGTTGATGATGTAGCGGTTGTCAATGTCGTATTCGTTCCGGGCGTCACGTACGTACTGCCAAAAATCCTTGCACTGCTCAGCCACGTCTGCGGAACAGGGAGATAAGTACACATAGTAAACCAAATTAGTATCACGCACAGGAGACATGCGAAAAAGAAACTAAGCATAATCGGGATAAATCAAAATCAGCAGTAAACGACCCACTTACGCTCCTGTGTTTTCTGCGCCACCTTTGTTTTCATGCGCACGCTGAGGTTCCACCGCTTGCGGAACCGCTCCATCCACCGCTGACTGCCTTTCCACTTGACGTCCGGGTAGAGAACCTTCATCACTTCTTTGGACCACTCTTGTAGCCGGCCGACCGAAACCGCAACTCCGCGGCGTCGCCAGTCGAGGAGTTGCGCGTACACCTTTAACTCCATGGGGCGGTACCAAGACGCCCTCCCGCGCCCGTGAAGTCGCATCCGTGCTCCGTGTGCAGCCTTGAGCGCCTCCGCTTGGGCTTTCCATTCTGTCAGACATTTTCGGTGTATGCCTGACTCCCGCGCCACTTCGCTCACCGAAGCCGCAAGCTCGAGCCGCACGAGCCACCTCAACTTCTCCTGTGCGGTGTAGGACTGCCGCTTATGTTGAGTCTGCTTGTGCCTGGGGGAGGGGGGGCGGGCATCTCGATTCTCGGTAGACGGGTGGGGGCGTTTTTTGTTAAGGGGCGGATACGTCGGTATCGGCATCTTCGCGCGTGGTGCGTCGCGCCACCAGGACTCCACACCGTCCCCGTCCTCGGCAGTTGTGTCATGGTCGGGGAACACGTCTTCCTCGTCGCCCGCTGCACCGTCGCCACCAGCTTCACCGTCGCCTCCAGCTTCGTCGGCGCCGCTGTCATGTTTGTCGGCAGCCACATCATCGTCGGCGCCCACAGCCGACTCATCCCACCGTGGTGCAGTCGTCGGAGCTTGGATGCGTGCATCGGGGGCCTTGGGTGTGTCCGCTTCAGCCAACCATTCGTCGAACGTGGCTGGTAAATACAGCTGGAGCACGGGCCGTTGGTGAGCACCTGCCGTAGCATAAGCAGGCGGATTCGGAGGAGCGGGAGGTGCGGGAGGAGCGGGTGGAGCAGGAGGCACAGGGGGAGCAGGAGGAGCAGGGGGTGCAGGGGGATCTGGTGGCACTGGAGGCGCTGGTGGCTCACGGGTATACCACCCGTCCTCGGTAAGTCGCCATGTGCGGCGTGGTTTTTTCTTGAAGAGGATGTGAGTCCCACTAAATTCCGCCATGGCTTCGCCTGCCAGGCGGGCTAGACAGGAAACTGAATGAAAAAATTAGAGACGAGGGTGAAGAAATGGGCAACGACGGGGACCCCTGCTGCGTGGCGGCTCGGGTTCCTCGTCGATGACAGGCAGGAAACCCCCGCCTACTCCCGTAGAGGCGCCTGCGTGGCAGCATCTACGCTGCGCTGGCAGGGAATCTTGCCGAACCTTCGAGATGGTTCTGCCCGAATGCACATGCCACGCAGCGCATGCGGCTCTGATTGGGCCGCACGGCAAGATCCTCGTCACGGCTGTCACATTCGATGTGCCGGCGTGAAAAGTAGGCAAGAGGCGACAAATGGAGAGACAGGAGTGACAACTTCCTAAACCTCTTTTAGAGTACCTCAAAACGCTGAACTATGGAGTACAGTGACAGAAGAGGCATCCTCCTTTCAGGCCCCTTGAAACTCTCTGCCCCTGGACCAGAACTCACCCAGGCATATGTTGGGAGCGGTGAGCACGGTGCCCTGGGGGCACACACACTGCGCTGCTCCAGAGGAGCCGTCACACACCAGGTCCCCTGCACACCTGCTCGCCCCCCTGCATGGGTCTGCATTGTGAGGGAGGATCAGGGGTGCAGGGTGAGAGAGGGGAGGGGATTGTGTCCAAAGATTAGGATTTCAAAGTTTCTAGAGACGGGAAGGGTGAGTGAGGCACAAGCGCCACACATGCCACCATTCCACATGCCACCATTCCACATGCCACCATTCCACATGCCACCATTCCACATGCCACCATTCCACATGCCACCATTCCACATGCCACCATTCCACATGCCACCATTCCACATGCCACCATTCCACATGCCACACATCCAACACGCGCCACCTCAGCACACGCCCCACACCCAGCACACGCCACACACCCAGCACACGCCACACACCCAGCACACGCCACACATGCTCACCTGCTTGGCACTTGCTGCCGTTGACGAGCACCTGGCCTTGCAAATGAGAGGCAAGCACTCGTCCGAGCAGGAACAGTGCATTGGGCCCTCATGACTAAAAGGCACGTTGCAGCGCATACCGTAAGGCAAGTTGCAAGGCGTACCGTAAGGCAGCTGGCCAATGAAGTTGCCCGGGGGCGAGTAGTGGCACACCCACACATCGCCGCTCGTGCCACACGACGTCTTGGCACACCCAACCCTGCGCGTGTTGTTCCACACCACCTGCGACCCTCCACCCATGAGTAGATGGGAATCGCACAGTGCAGCCGTGCAGCTTCATATAGCGATTTGAGATGTTTTGGCCACATGCAGTTACAAGTACTGCAGCATTTGGCAGGATCAAAACAGAATCACGGTGTGAATGTGGTGACCGAGTTTGAACACCACACGCCCCTCACCTGCGTGTAGTGGCCGCACTTGGCCCCGTCAGCACAGCCGTTGGGGAAGACGTCCAGTTGGTACCACTTGGCCTTGTCCACCCACCAGCGCACCGCTTCATCGTTCGACACCCATCCGCTGGGGTTGGCGCTCGACAGGTTCTGCCCCTCGTCGCTGGTGCCGCCGTGCTGCAGCCGGCAGTTGTGCTCCCTCGTTGTCAGTGTAATTGCCCATGCCCTGGCCCTTGTTGCCACTGGGAGTGGGAGAGGTGGTAGGGGGGAGAGGAAGGGAGAGAATGGAGAAGGAAACAAAGGTGGAGGAAGGAGGAAGAGGAGAAGGAAATAGGGGGAATGAGATATAAGGGGAGAGGGAAGGAGGACAAGGAGGAGGAAGAGGGAATGGAATGAGGCGTAAAGTCGTTATGTTACATACATGCACCTCGCACCACACACATCCACCATGATGCTGCATTCACGCACCAACCATAGCACCCACATGCGCCACTGTACATGCTACATGATGCATGCCTCGCCCCCCCAGCAGCACTCACGGACATCGTCCCACACGAGGGGCACGGCGCCCACAGCGGCCCTGACGGCGTTGTGTTGGTCCAAGTAGTCCGAGTGGGCGAGAGCGGCGGCCGAGCACTGGTTGTTGATCAGCCGCTTGAAGGGCGCCGGGCATTTGCACACCGCTGCACCGTTCTGCACCGTGCACTTGGAGACGTCGGGGCACTTGACTCCATAGCAGGGGTCTGAGGAGGGAAAGAGGGAGGGGGTAGAGAGCACAATTGGAGCATTTACACACCAATGCACTGATATGCACCATCCATCGCCTCGCACTTGGACAGGTGCAGCCATTTGGCGCCATGACATCGATCTGATGCGGAAATTGGAAATAGGGGGGTGTGGAGAGAAGGGGGAGGAGAGGGGGAGGGGGGGGGGTAGGGGGGAGGAAAGGCGTTTCTTTGATTTGAGGGCACCTCGGACTCAGCGATGAGGAGTATAAGGGAGAGAGCGCGGGCTGGGTGCAACGAGACATGCCAGGCCGGATGCCGCGAGGCAAGCCGTGGATCAGGTTTGTAACGCCTGTGGGCCGGTTAATGGCCAGATAACACCTCGTTTTGACCCATTGGGTAGCGAGATGTTCGCCTGGCGTTGTTGCAATCACCTGAGCACGAGCACTTGGCGACGCCAGGGGCATTCGAGCAGGAGCATCCGTTCGGGCACGACACGAGCGAGCACGCGCCGTTGGCGGCCGCACCGCGCCATGGTTGCGCCGCGCCTCTCCACCGACCGGCGCCTGTGGCGACGGCGGCGGATGATGCGGACGCGAAATGCCGGGTGAAGAGGGCGGCATGGAGGAGGGAAAGGAGGAGGAAGAGAAAGGGGGTAACGATTGCTGTTCGCATGTTAATCGTAACACGCGCCATCAGGCAATCAGCGCCGATCAATGCGAGATCGAGAAATTGAATGGAGCGTCACCCTTGCAAAGTAAGTGGCGAGAAATGGCTGGTGGATGGCTGCGGCAAGTACGGCGAGGAGGGATACGGTTACGAATGCGAGGGTGGCTGCTCTTTAAACGAGCACAGGCGGACCAAGCCATGGCGGTCGCGGCGAGCTAAGTGTCTTCGCGCGAACAAAACGAGGGGCGGCGAACCGGGTCGCCTCTGGCCGTCCGAACGTGGCTTGCAAGTTCGGACTCAGGAGGCACACGAGTGTGGGTTATGGCTAAGCGGAGAAATCTCGGACCGTCCGGGCGACCCGCGGGTTGAAATCTCTGAACTTGCGGCGACTGTGGAGAAATAAGTCTGTAGCATGCATTTCGTGCTGCTCTATGACATGTAGACAACAGGGCGTCAATGAGAGAGTTATAGTGCGGTTAGTCACTTTCTTTAACTTTACGAGGCATCACACTCCGGTTCAGTGGCGTGTAAAACTCACCTTATCCAACCCCCTTTTTACCGAACTTATTCGTCGCAAGGTTAGGGCATGTGTCTTTCGGTGTAGTAGCCAGCAGCTAAAATAGTGACCCCCCCCTTCTAGTTGGGTCCATTTGAAAACACAAGTTTGTTACTAACGTTTGAAAAGTTGACGGCCTGTGCGTTTTTACTTTTTTTCATCCCAGACGAGTCTTGATCTGTGTACTTGTTTACAAATCTGATTGGTGGCGACTTTCACCCAAATTCCTGTACGAATTTGGCGCAAGGCTGCAATCCCACATTTAAAGCCCAAGACCTGAATTACAAAAAACTGAAGGCAAACTGTGCACAGTTTGCCTTCCGAGCCCACAGTTGACTTCCCGAACCTCTCTGGTTACCAAATGACGCCCCGCAAAAAAACCAGGGAGTCGTAGAGCAGCACAGGTTTGGTTGGCGAGAGTCCCAGCCGCTCCCTCCTGAAGGGAGTAGGGCAAGCTGTGCACAGTTTGGAAATTGTTGTAATTCAGGTCATGCTCGACCACGTAGTACGCACGCACTCGTAGGTAGAACAGGAAGCCATTAGAGCCAGAGCCCACTCCACACACACAAAAAAAAAAAAAGATTTTGTGTGATTAGCAGAGTGTTGCGATGGCCCCGCTTATTACTCAGCGTCGTCGTCGAAACCCTGCGCGACCGCGCAAACGCCAGTTTGCGACGCATGCATCTCCCTCTCCGAGGTCGATGAGAATCGTACGGTCGATGTTGTCATTTCCCGCGCGTTCCCCCTCGGTTTGCCTCAGCCCTATTCCCCTCCCGCGCTTCCTCTTCGACGTCACGTCCTGTCACTCACGCTTGCCCTCTCGTCGACGTCGCCGTGCCCAATTACGTCGCTACTTTTACGTCTTAGATCGATCTCTTCCTATGTTGTCTAGCGCCTTCCGCGTTCCCCACGCTTCGCCCCACCGTCGCCCGCGCTTCCTCCCGCTGTCGCTCACACTTCACTCCGTCGTTGCCCACGCTACCCCTCCCGTCACCCACCTTCACCGTCGTCCACGTTTTCCCCCTGTCGCTTTTCTCCCACCCACCGTCGCCCTCGCTTCCCATCTCATCGCCCACGCTTCCTCCCACCGTCGCCCTCGCTTCCTCCCACCGTCGCCCTCGCTTCCTCCCACCGTCGCCCACGCTCCCTCCCACCGTCGCCCTCGTTTCCTCCCACCGTCGCCCTCGCTTCCTCCCACCGTCGCCCTCGCTTCCTTCCACCGTCGCCCTCGCTTCCTCCCACCGTCGCCCTCGCTTCCTCCCACCGTCGCCCTCGCTTCCTCCCACCGTCGCCCTCGCTTCCTCCCACCGTCGCCCTCGCTTCCTCCCACCCTCCCCTACACTCCGCCGCCGTCATCTCTTCCCTGCCTATCACGTTCACCCTCTTCCTCCCACCCACCCACCCCCCCCACCCTCTCATCCCTTCCTATCACATTTAGGGTCATCGTTGCTTCCCTTCCCCATTGCCTCATTAGGTCGCACTCGCTCTATCCCCCTCTTCCACCTTTTCCACTTCCACTGTTGTCCTTGGTTACCACCCCACCCTTGCACCCTTCTTTCCTTCTCTCACATTCTCCTTTCCCCCTGCCTCACACCCACCCTGGGCGCAGAGAGATGGCGGGCTGGGCTGGGCACTGGGTATGGGGTCGTGACATCTTCGCTGTGGCGTGTGCGAGGGTGTGTGGTGCGCAGGCGAGGGGAGAATGAAAGCTGATGCGGTGCTAGGCGAGGAGCATGCACCGCTGTGCACACCCCCTGCCCCTCACGTTGTGCCCCTCACAGCCCCATGGCAGCACAGCACCTCTCTCTCGCACCAACCCCGCACACATGGCAGGTGCGGCTGCAGCATTGGAGCAGAGTGCTTGGCGCACAGCCGGGGCAGCACGTGCAGGCGGGCAGTGAGGAGCGTCGTCCTCTCCTACTCCCTTCCTCTCTTCCTCTCTTCCACCCTCTTCCCTACTCTCTGCTTCAGTGTCTTTCCCCCCTCTCTTTCCCCTTTCCTCCCTCCCTTCATCCCATCCTCTCTTCCACCCTTCCTCCTTGTCTCCCTTGCTCATTTTCTCCCTCGGTGCAGTCCTTGTTCTCTGCATCCCTCTCTGCCATCCTCCCTTTCTCTCAGCCTCCTCACTTTCTCTCGTCAACCATTCCTCTGCACCCTCCTACCCTGCCGCGCCTGTACACTCCTACCCTGTCTGTATATTCTAGGGGCTTGTTTCTTGTCGCCTGCCTTTCCATTGTCATTGTTTTATATCCTTTCTCGATGCTTCGTGTTTGTGGTTCGTGCTTGTGTTTCGTGTTTGTGCAGGTTTGCCATGCATCCACTTGTGATGCCTTTGCTGTTTGATGATAGTGGTACCGTATGACCACTAGCCATGCCATGTAGTGTTGTTGGATGCTTCTCCTGATTCAACACTCTGGGCTTCCGAGCAGCCATGCACATGACCACTACAAAGAAATGCAACAAAGCAAGTTATATTTTTATGAAATTTGTCAGCAATTGACTATAGGCACATGTACAAAGCTAGGAGGTGGTAACTTTCCATCCCACTCCTGTTGGACCCATGGTGCTGGGCACCTGTACAAGCATGGTTCTGTGATAGAACAAGGAGGGAAGGGGAGATATGGCAGAATAAGCGAGGGGTGGAGGTGGAGGTGCAGAAGGGTATGTATGGGAGGAGTGGACAAGGCAGAGGGGTGAGCAACGGGGGAAAAGGAGAGAGGTAACGCGTGAGCTCTATGGTGGCGACCACGTTGACCTCTAACATGCCCTGATGGGGGGAAAAGGAAGAGAAGGAGGGGGGGGGAGGATGCAGGCAGAAGGAGGAGCGGAACAGAGAGGGGGAGAGAGCAAGGAGAGGTGTAACACATGAGCCCTATGGTGGCCACCTCGTTGACATCGAACATGCCCTGATGAGGGGAGGGAAGAGAGCGAATGTAGGACGCGGAGAGAGAGAGAGGAAAGGGGGGAAGGAGGGGAAGGGGGAGGGAGAGAGGGTGGTCGACCTGACGGGGCGAGCAACGTGCCACGTTGACTTCTAGCATGGCCTGATGGGGCGAGATGGGAGAAAGGGGAAACTGGAAAAAAAGGGGGAAATGAAGGGGGAGGATGCAGGATACAGGTAGAAAGGAACGGGATGGAGAGGGGGGCTTGATATGTGTTTAAAACGGGATGGAAGGGGAGGGGGGAGGGGAAGTGCTTTGTCTTTTTAACAAGGTGTAAGAGGGAGCCTTACCCGGAGAGTGTCCTCTGGAGTGTCTTCACATGTGAGCTACTGCACATGGATTGATGCGGGGCAAAATACGAGCAGGAAAGGGGGGAAGAGAGAGGAAAGGCGGGGAAGGGTGGGGGGGGAGGGGGGACGAGGAGGGGGAGAAGGGAATTTAGGCTGAAAAAAGAGAGAAAAGGAAAAAGGGGGAGAAGAGTGAGGAAGGGGCTATAGGTAGATACAAAGATGAAGAGAGAAGAGGGGAGGGAGGAGAGGGAGAGCACATGGTTGAAGAGACTTGAGAGGAGGAGACTGTGTCGTGAGAGTGAGGAACTGGGAACGAGGGGAACTGGGAGAGGTAGGTACTAACAGAAAGAGAGCCAGGTGTGTGTAAAATAGGACACTCACTGTGCGCGGATGGGCAAAATTCAGAACCAGCACGTCAACCCCGCACGCCCCTCCCCCACCCAACCCCACTTTCCTCCTCCCCTCCCCCCCCCCCCCCCTTTCCCCCCCTTCCCCCCCTCCTCACCTTCCCCTCTCCTCCCCCCCCTTTTTTTCTGCCTTCTCCCCTCCTTTACCCCTCCCCCCCCCTCCGCACCCACCCACATTCAGGATAGACGACTCACCGGGCGCGGATGGGCGGCATTCAACTCCGCACGGCCCTTCCTCTCCACGCGCCTCCTCCCCGCGGAGCACGCTTTCCGCCTGGCGCACTGCGTCGTGCAGCACGTCCGCTCCCCCCTTGAGGTCGAACGGCAGCACCACCACCCCCTCCGGCGCGTGCGTTCCGCAGCAGGAGGCGCCCACCGCCTGCAGGCGCTCCGCGGAGCGCGCGGAGAGGATCAGCCGCGCGCCCATCGCCGCGAAACGCTGCGCCAGCTCCTGGCCTGGTACGGGGAGCGGGGCAGAGTGGGGCGCGAAGAGGGGGGCGAGAGAGGGGGGAGAGGGGGGAGCGGGGACCCGGGGGAAGGGAGACGTCGCGCGGAAGGGGGTGAGGATAGAGGGAGTGAGCAGGGGGAATGGGAGTGAACAGGAGAGAAGAGAGTGAAGGGGGGGGAAGAGAGTGAGCAGGGGGGAAGAGAGAGAGCTTAGGGTGGGGGAATGGAGGGGATAAAGACGAGCTATGGGAGGGGGAGAGAAGGCGACGGGCGGGGAAGCGAGGGCGACTGGAGGAGAAGCCATTGCGACGGGCGGGGAAGAGAGAATGAGCTGGAGAGAGTGAAAGGCAATGAGAGGGGAAGTGAAGGCGACGGGAGGGGGAAAAGTGAAGGCGACGGGGGGTGGGAAGTCGCGACGGGGTGGGGGGGGTCGAAGGCGACGGGATGGGGGAAGAGAAGGCGACGGGGGGGGGGGGGGGGGGGCGCGGGGGGGAAGTGAGGGCGACGGGGTGGGGGAAATGAAGGCCACGGGGTGGGAAAAAGTGAAGGCGACAGGGGGTGGGAAGTCGCGACGGGGTTGGGGGGGGTGACCGCGACGGGGAAGAGCAGGCGACGGTGGGCGGGGAGTGAAGGCGACGGGAGGGAAGTGAAGGCGTCGGGCGGAGCGTTCGAGACGGGCTGGGGTCGCGAAGGTGACGAGCTGCGGAAATGATGGCGACGACGCGGGCGACAGAGAGCGGAAGCGTGGGACCTAGGGAAAGGAAAGGAAAGCGAGGGGAGGACCACGCTTGGACGAACGGGTGTGATTCGATTTTCGTCGCGAGTTTACGCTACGCAGTAGTTGCACAATAACCTGCTAACACTAGCTTTGCGCGTCATCATCGAAATCCGCGCCACCCACATCGTAAGGCGCATCTGAACCCTTTTGAGTGAACGCCGACGCCCTGCCCTGTCTACGGGTATGATCTATGCCTCATACTATGCGTGCTATCTCAAACTGTGCACAGTTTGGTATGCAAGCGCTTTTCTGGTTGTGGGAAGGACCCCACCCATCATGGGAAGCGAGAAACTTTTGTCGCAAATTGTTTCGCGAGTTGAAAGTCTCTCGCAACCCAACCGAACCTCTCCGTGCCTGCCTCCCGAACCTAGTTTTTGGCGTTGACTTCCGTTGAGTAATTCAGGTCTTGGGCTTTAACAGAGCAGCCGTTGTAACTTCACAAGAATTCCTATGTGCAAAAAAAAGCGCACACATGCAAAATCCTGCGCAATCACTGGCATGATCAAGCAAAAACCATGGCACACACAGGTGAAATCAGGCGAAGAAGATAGAAATAAAGAAATGAATGATGTACGAAAAGAGGAAGGGCGTCGGGACGGTTGATTGGTCGACGCCGAAGAGAAGGGACTGGGGACAAGGGGGCCGACGGGAGAGAAGGGGAGAGAGGGGGAACGACGGGATGGGAGGGGAGGGAGGAAGAACGACGGGATAGGAGGGAAGAGAGGAGGAACAACGGGATGGGAGGGGAGAGAGGAAGAAAGACGGGATGGGAGGGTAGAGAGGAACGACAGGATGGAAGGGGAGAGAGGAACGGGAGGCGGGGAGGAAAGACAGATTGTGAGGGGAGGGAGGAAGGGCGCGGAGAGGGCATTACATAGCAAGAGCGAAGGCGACGAGGTCGGTGATGAACCGGGTGGATACAATGGGCAATCTGGAGAGTGTTTCAGAGACTAATGATTGGGGAGAAGAGACGAAAGGCGATGGGAAGGCATTTCGGGGCGAGCACGAGGGCGACGAGGTCGGTGATGGGAAGGGAGAGAGGAAGGGCGACGGGAGGGGGTTGAGTGCGAGCGCGAAGGCGACGAGGCAGGCGATGGGAGGAGAAAGTGGGTGGGGGACGGGAAGGCGTTTTGTGGCGAGCGGGAAGGCGATGGGGTGGGTGATGGTGGGTGGGAGAGGAAATTGCGACGGCTGCATCTAGGGCGACGGGAAGAACGAGAGGGAGAACGAGAGGGAGACGGGACGATTTGGGGGGCGACAGGGCTACAACGTGGGTGATGCGAAGGGAGAGAGGAAGGGCGATTTGAGGCGAGGGCGACGGCGACAAGGAGGGTGATGTGAGGGGAGAGAGAAAGGGTGACGCGATGGTGACGGACGATGTGAGGGAAGAGTGTGAGGGTGATAAGAGGGGTGATACGAACCGAGAGAAAAAGGGTGATGGGGGGAGAGAGAGGGCAACGAGGGTGATGGGAAGGCGGCGATGAGGGTGCCGCGAGGAGCGACGAAAATAGCGAGGGCATATGTGACGGGGAGAGTAACTGTAATGCCCAGGGCTATTATAATGGCGGTTACAAGGCTTTTATAATATTCCAATACAAAATAGTAGCTTTAACTAGCCTTAATAGCCTTGGAGATGAAGATCTTCTTGATGCCTTTGATGAAAAGCACTTGGAGTAGTAGTGTAGGGAGACTTGTGAGAGAGCCCAAAAGGACTTAGAGAAACAATCCCATTTCCAATTGTTTTGTTGGAGTGGGAGGTTGAGAATGAGCTTGCTTAGCTCAGACCCCCTCAATACACCCCTTGGGGAACTATCCCAACCATGGTTTCCATGGTGGGATGGTTCCTAGGCTTGGAGCCTATGTGGCAATTGTGTTGGGTTGGAAAACCCAACTTAGAACCATTCAATGGTTGTGTTTAGGATAGAGTAGATTGTAACACTTGTTTGGCAGTTTCTGATTGGTTGGAATTCCAACCTTCAACATTCTCTTGGTTGAGTTGGAAATGTTCCAAACCTCCAAAGTTGAGGCTTGGCAAACCCAAACCAAGTTTCATCCCAACCAACTCAACCATCTTCTCCAACTCTTCCTTTGTCGAGAGAAGTTCTCAACAATTGACTTAGAGAGAGATCGATGGTTGTTAGCTCGGTAGTTAGGGTAATACGTTACACTCCTCCCCCCCCAGGTGGCAACGTCCCCGTTGCCCTAGGGTGCTTCTGAGGACGAGTGCTTCGAGCACGGCGCACCACATTACGACCAGGGTCAACCCCGTCCACTGGTTCTGGGCCTGCTCGTAGAGCCAGGTCTTCCATATACGCTTGAACCGCTGCTTCGGTCAAGTTTTCCTCAGGCTCCCAAGAGTTGTGTTCCGGCCCATAGCCTTTCCACTGAATTAGGAACTCACGAACAGTTTTGCGGCCGCGTTGTCGATCACGGTGCGTTAGCACACGCTCGACTTCGTAAAAGAGTTCCTTCTCGAGAGCGATGGTTGGTGGCGGTAAGTACTTGCCTTCTGCAACGTACTTATTCAACAGAGACACGTGGAAGACGTTGTGAATCTGCAATGTCGCAGGCAATTTGAGCCTATATGCGACCTCACCAACACGCGCAATCACCTCGAAGGGCCCAATCCAACGAGGGAAAAGCTTTCGTGCTCCCGGGATCTTGAGACGAATGTTCTTCGTACTCAGTAATACTTTGTCGCCAACTGCAAAAACGACTTCCCGGCGTTTCATGTCGGCATAGGATTTTTGCCTCTGTTGGGCAAGCTGCAGCCAATGGCGAACGGACTTCAATGCCGCTTGCTGATTTCCAATAAAGTCCTTTGCGGCAGGGATTTTGAGGTTCTTAATCCCATGCGTCGCGGGGGTTGTGGGGTGCCGACCACAGTTCAGGACAAAGGGTTTCTCATGGGTGCTTTCATGCACAGAATTGTTTACAGCGAATTCCACGACTGGCAACAATTCATCCCAATCGTCCTGAGTTGGGCTTATGAAAGAACGAAGCATTTGCTCAAGAGTGCGGTTGGTCCGCTCTGTCTGTCCATCCGTTTGCGGGTGGAACGCAGACGACATCTTGAGTTTCGTTCCGAGTGTCTTAATGACCTCTTGCCAGAACCGGCTTGTGAAGCGCGGGTCTCGGTCAGACACCATCACACGAGGCAACCCGTGTAAGCGGAAAACGTGTGTCACAAACAACTTTGCCGTATCTTCCGCAGACACGTCAGTCGTCGTGGGCACAAAGTGCACCATTTTGGTCAAGCGATCCACAAACACTAGTATCGCTGTATGACCATCTCGCGTCTTGGGGAGATCGGTGATAAAATCCATCGATACACTCTCCCAAGGTTCATCAGGAATCTCAAGTGGTTGAAGCAGACCACCAGGCTTCTGTGTGCTCGGCTTGTTCCGTGCACACGTGTCACAGCGAGTTACAAACTGCTGGACCTCAATGCCCAATCCCGGCCACCAGTATACATCACTGAGGGCCCACCGGGTTTTCTTGACACCCAGGTGTCCTCCATACTTAGTGGCGTGCACCTCTGCGAGAATATCATTCCGCAGGTTTCCCACATGTGGGACTACAATTTCTTTCTTGTGCCACCAGAGCTCATGCTCCCACAAGAGATTGTTTGTATTCTGTGGGTTCTGAAACCAAGGGTCAATATCATACCCTGCGCGGATGCGTTTCAGAAAACCACCAAAGGCAATCTCGCTCACTCGAGCAGCTGCGAGGATGTTGAAACAAGCAGCAAACACAGCTTCATGTTCCTTATCATCAACACCCGTTGCTGCCCCAATCGGCTGTCTGCTCAGAGGATCAGCCATGTTCGTCGAGCCCGCTCGATATCGAATATCGTAGGTGAAACCACTCAGGAGTTCAGCCCATCGAGCTTGACGGCGGGTGAGTGTGGCTTGAGTGGCAAAATAGGTGTTCGGACAGTGGTCGGTCGTGACCACAAAGTCAACACCTTCGAGATAACATCTCCATGTTCGTAGCGCATGCACAACCGCCAACAATTCTTGTTCGGAAGTTGTATAGCGCTGCTCAGCCGGTGAAAGCTTTCTACTCTCAAATGCCACGGGGCGTCCTTCTTGCAAAAGAACTGCTCCAATCCCTACTGTCGAGGCATCAGTTACCACCTCGTAGGGCTTGGACGGGTCTGGCAAAGCCAGCACTGGAGCATTGGTCAGCATGGTTTTCACCTCCTCAAATGCCTTCTGGCATTGATCGGTCCACTGCCAAGCATTACCCTTACGAGTGAGGGCAGTCAGTGGGGCGACTACGGAGGAATAATTTTCCAAGAAACGGCGAAAATAGTTCGCAAGTCCAAGAAATGATCTGACCTGTCCCACGTCCTGTGGAACGGGCCACTGTTGGACTGCCGCCACTTTCTTTGGATCAACTTTGAGGCCATCGTTGCCTACCAAGTGACCAAGGTATTCCAACTCGCGTTTGTAGAAGTGACACTTCCACAATCGAGCAAAGAATTTATGCTCTCGCAGTTTTCCTAACACCCATTTCAGGTGTTGCGTGTGTTCTTCTTCGGTCTTCGAGTACACGAGGATGTCATCCAAGTATACCAGGACGAATTGGCCGATTGCCTCCCGAAACACATCATTCATTGCTCGCTGAAATGACGCGGGAGCATTTGTCAAGCCAAAACTTAACACACGCCACTGAAAATGCCCGAACGGCGTTCTGAAAGCCGTTTTTGGAACATCTTCTTCGGTGATTCGTAGCTGATGATACCCCTGAGCTAAGTCCAGCGCACTGAACCACTGAGCTCCCTGGAGCCGATCGAACAGATCCTCAATTCGTGGTAGAGGGTAGCTGTTCTTCACCGTAATCTTGTTCAAGGCACGATAATCTACGCACATGCGTAATCCTCCGCCCTTCTTGTTAACGAACAAAATTGGTGCTCCGTAAGGGGATGCACTGGGTTCAATCCATCCTTTTCTGAGGTATTCCTCGATCTGTTGTTTGGCCTCTTCGTACTCAGCTGGACTGAGGCGATACAGAGGTCGAAAGGGTGGAACCTTTCCTGTTTCAACAGGGATGGTGTGACCCACTGCGCGGTCAGGCGGAAGTCCATCAGGGATGGTTTCAAACACTTCCTTGAATTCCTCTGCCAGTATTTTCATTTGAGGAGGGAAATCCTCAATTGCTGGCTCCGAGGCCTCGACATTCTCAAGCTGTACCACGAATAGTGTATCAGCCGACTTAACAGAATGCCCGAATTGGTTGGCCAACACACACAGCGCGCTGGGACGTTCAGGTGTCTGTGTTTCAGTGGGCAAATTATCATTGACTTGCCACTGGATTGCCTTTCCGTTCTTGTTGAACGAGACAATGTTGTACTGGAAGTCCAGAATAACTTCGTTGGCTCTCAACCAATCCATGCCCAGGATGAGGTCGACTCCTGACAAAGTGGTAGGACATATACGCGAACTGTTTCGCTATAGTCCTGTACTTTCATGTCGATATGTGTCTGTCCTTTACTTGGAATGACACGATCGTCACCCAAGCGGATGGGACACGACGGTCCTACAACGAGGACGTTGCGTGTCGTAACCCAAGTGTCATCAACAAGGGAAACCGACGCGCCTGTATCGACGAGAATCCTTGCTTCGTCCCCATTCATGCGTCCAGATAACAGTAGATTCTGTTGAAATCTTGGACGGATGGGACAAGCGACAACAAGTTTAGGAGGTCGAAAGTACACCCTAAATTTGTTGTGAGCGCGTCCAAACCTTTGGGATGTGGTCCACCAAACATGGTGCCCCTTGTCCCATGTTGCCAGGATATGCCATTCGTGAAATCGGCGGAACAACTCTCCTTTCACGATTCGAGTCACCAATCCCACTGACGTGAGCGGGTGCTCTTGGACACAACGGTCCACAATATCCATGATTGCTGGCAACTCGTTGAACGAGCAAGAGATGATTGAAAATTTATCTCTCAAGGATTCAATTGAGATGTTTTCAAGTGGGTATGATCGAGTTTTAAAAACAGATTTTTCATTAATAGAAGAGGCATACAAACAAGCGATTTTGCATGATGCAAGCTTCTCTAGCTTTAGCAAATCCTCATCACGAAGGACATAAGCCTCATCTACTCGATCTCGCTCACCAACTAGGTACCCACCCCCTAGTTGGACTTCGGAAAATCCTTCGGGCCTGAAGGGCCAGAACCATCCGGCTTCTTGCCCTGGTTGGGCTTGCCGGAGTTCTTGACGGACTTCCTCCAACGGCAGTGATAGGACTTGTGCCCGAGCTTGCCACAGATGCGGCAGCCTGCCGGGGGCTTATCCTCATCCTGAGGATCCTTGGCAGGCCCAGCATGGGCCCTCTTGGACTGAGTCCCAGAGGATTCCCCCTTCTGCTGATAGGGCCTCTTCCAAGAGCCACTGCCCCTGTGTGCCTGAGTCCTGTTACCACCCCCCCTAGGGCCTTCGGCACTAGGCTGCTGCTGAGCACGAGCGTGAGTCATGTACGCACGGAAATTCACATCCGTGTCAATGACCTGCTCCTTGCACTCCTTGTAGGTCCTCCACTGGTGCTCCCCGCGCACAACATGCACACGCTTGATGTGCTCAGGGAGACCCTTGAAGAACTGGTGGATGACCTCGCTCTCAGGAAGAGCAGTCTTCAGCAGCGACAGAGTTTTCTCAAACTCCTTGGCGTACTCGCGTACAGGCTGGTCACCGCACTGGATGTTCTCCAGGCGGCTACGCACCTCGAGCGCCGGGGGCTGACTCAGGAATGCCGCCAGCATGGCAGCTTTGAACTCCTCCCAGCCAAAAGGATGGCCATTAGCCTCTGCGTGGCGCTTGTTGGCATACACCAACTTGCTCGCAGTGTCGTCCAGGGCAAGGGTTGCAGCGACCACACGAGCCTCGCTACGCACATTGTGGATGGACATAAAGTCCTCCGCAATGGAGAGCTAAGTCTCGACGTCGGTCTTGCCATGGACAAAACGAGGCAGGGCCGAAGGGCAGGAGCCAAAGGCAGTTGCTGCTGCAGTAGGAGGCTCAGAACGTGCTCCAGTAGGAGGAGGAACAGCAGGAGGTGCATCAGCAGGTGCAGCACGGCTGTTAGCGGCGTTGGCGACTCGCTCTGCTGCAGGAGCAGGCTGGTAGAGGTTTCCACGCCGGATCTCCCTGTACTGGGTCTGAAGCACAGAGATGCTTTTCTCCTGCTTCTTGAGCTGATCCTGCACGAACTGAAGAGTGTTGTGCAGGTCCTGAATGAGGCTGGAGGTGTCGTTTTCCTTAGGGATCAACTGCACCTCCCTGGTCAGCTGCTCAATCAAGGCCTGAAGCTTAACAGAATCAGCCTCCAAGTTCTGGATACGACACTGTTGCACTCCAATGAGAATATTCTGCTCCGTGAGTTGAGTCTGGAGCTTGACAGCAATGTTCTCAGTTTCATTGGAAACACCCTCATCAGAGCCAGCCTCTTCCTCATTTTCAGCATCAGCCTCAAGGTCAGCTTCACTTCCATTGATCTCCATGTCAACCACGAAATCCTCAAGGTTGAGATCAATGTCAGCAGCAGCAGCAGCATTATCTCCCTCAGTGCCAACAACGGGCACCTCCTTAGTAGCATCCATCTCTTGACCAGCAGCCATGAAACAGGTTAAGGAGAGGAGATCTCAACAGATCTTATAATAATCTTTAAGAAATTTGATTACTCTTATAGAATAATCCAATACAGAATCTCTTAAGATAGACTTGTTTGCCAAATCTCTCTATCACCTCAATGATAGAGCAAGATATACTCAAGAGAGTAATCCTCAACAAGCCCTTTATAGATCTAAAGGTACACTCTTCCACACAAAGTAGATCAAGAGTCTTCCACCAAAGGTGGGTAAGAGAAATTAATCTCTTCAAATTTCTTCTCAATGTTGATGAAGAAAAATGAGCTCCTTGTAGATCTTGAAGCTCCAATGGTGTGTTGAGGAGATTGAAGCTTGAAGCTTGGAGATCTTGTAGAAGCTTTTGTAGATCTTGAAGAAATTTCTTCAAAATCTTCAAAGATCTTGATAGCTCCTTGGATGAAATCCTGGATCCACAAGCTAGGATCCTCTAAAAAAAAATAGTCCAAGTAGCAAATCGCCACACAAGGCCAAGGAAGAACCTTGCTCTAGATACCAATGTAATGCCCAGGGCTATTATAATGGCGGTTACAAGGCTTTTATAATATTCCAATACAAAATAGTAGCTTTGACTAGCCTTAATAGCCTTGGAGATGAAGATCTTCTTGATGCCTTTGATGAAAAGCACTTGGAGTAGTAGTGTAGGGAGACTTGTGAGAGAGCCCAAAAGGACTTAGAGAAACAATCCCATTTCCAATTGTTTTGTTGGAGTGGGAGGTTGAGAATGAGCTTGCTTAGCTCAGACCCCCTCAATACACCCCTTGGGGAACTATCCCAACCATGGTTTCCATGGTGGGATGGTTCCTAGGCTTGGAGCCTATGTGGCAATTGTGTTGGGTTGGAAAACCCAACTTAGAACCATTCAATGGTTGTGTTTAGGATAGAGTAGATTGTAACACTTGTTTGGCAGTTTCTGATTGGTTGGAATTCCAACCTTCAACATTCTCTTGGTTGAGTTGGAAATGTTCCAAACCTCCAAAGTTGAGGCTTGGCAAACCCAAACCAAGTTTCATCCCAACCAACTCAACCATCTTCTCCAACTCTTCCTTTGTCGAGAGAAGTTCTCAACAATTGACTTAGAGAGAGATCGATGGTTGTTAGCTCGGTAGTTAGGGTAATACGTTACAGTAACGCTGCGAGGGAAAAGCGAGAGGGGCCGACGATCACGGGGCGACGGGGCGACGGGCAGGCATTTCGGGGCGAGCGCGAAGACGCCGAGGTGGATGATGGGGTGGGAGAGATGAAGGGCGACGGAAGAGAGGAAGACGGGAGGGGAGGGGCGACGGGAGAGAAGACGGGTGACAGGAGAGAGGATAGGAGACGGGAGAAAGAAAGGGCGACAGGAGAGAGGAAGGGCGACGGGAGGAAGGAAGGGCGGCGGGAGAGAGAATAGGCGACAGGAGAGAGGAAGGGCGACGGGAGAGAGGAAGGGCGACGGGAGAGTAGGAAGGGCGACGGGAGAGAAAGGCGAAGGGAGAGTATGAAGGGCGACGGAAGAGTAGGAAGGGCGACGGGAGAGTAGGAAGGGCAACGGGAGAGAAAGGCGACGGGAGAGAAGGGCGACGGGAGAGAAGGAAGGGCGGCGGGAGAGAAAGAAGGGCGGCGGGAGGAAGGAAGGGCGGCGGGAGAGAGAATAGGCGACAGGAGAGAGGAAGGGCGACGGGAGAGAGGAAGGGCGACGGGAGAGTAGGAAGGGCGACGGGAGAGAAAGGCGAAGGGAGAGTATGAAGGGCGACGGAAGAGTAGGAAGGGCGACGGGAGAGTAGGAAGGGCAACGGGAGAGAAAGGCGACGGGAGAGAAGGGCGACGGAAGAGAAGGAAGGGCGGCGGGAGAGAAAGAAGGGCGGCGGGAGAGGAAAGCGACGGGAGAGGAAAGGCGAAGGGAGAGGAAAGGCGAAGGGAGAGGAAAGGCGAAGGGAGAGGAAAGGCGAAGGGAGAGGAAAGGCGAAGGGAGGGGAGGGGAGAGATAGCGTGGCGACGCGAACTGAGGGGAGGGCCGCGACGGGAGATAGCGAGGGCGACGTCGATGGAGGCGACAATTCGGGCGACGGGACGGCGTCGGGACGGACGGCGCGAGGACGAGTGAGTCGGGAGGACGAGTGAGGCGGGATAGGAAGGCGGCGAGAGGGTAATCTAAACGGCACAATTACTGCGCAATCATGACATATAATCACTACGCGCCTAAGTTGCGGTGACAACAGCCTAAGTTGGGGCTATATGGCTAGACAAGCAACTAAAAACTAAGGTCACGGTTCTGGGCGAAGCTTGGAGACCATCAACCAAAATTTTCCCTCAGTGACGTGTAAACACACCCGATCATTGGTCACTACACAAGTTGCGAGAAATCTTGGAGGGTGGCAGCCAACCAGACGTGTTCATTGCTACCAAAGTGTCCACACTTCAGATGGTGTCCAGACTTCAGAACCGTGATCTAAGAAGCACGGAAAACTGATTGGAAGACGTAGTTGTACTTCACCCATGCCCAACTTGAACGCGAAGCTGGGCAAAAAATCGCAGGGACGTGACAAAACGATCGCAGTGCTTCTGCTCTGCGGCTCCCCAAACAGAGATGCGACGCCTGACGTGCTGTGTTCCTTTTCTCAAGTTTTGGCGGGAACCAATCAGATTTGTTCGATCTGTTCAAACGCTCTCAATGAAACAGTGCAAACTTGTCGGTTTGGTTTTGAAAATTGTTTCGCTCGACAAGCTCTCTTTCAAGCTGGAGACGGGTTCAACTATTTTGCATTTCGGTTAAAGCTCAAGGCCCAAATTGCAGAGCGCGCGGGGCAAGCTTACTAAAGTTGAATCAGAGAGGTGTTGTGGGGGTTGTTTGGTTGCGAATTGTGGTTACGAGAAGTGCGATGCTGTGTGATTGGCCAGCAGTTTTTTTGTCCAATGGGAGAGAATGAAACACCAAGAATATTGTGAGTGCAATTTGGGACTTTGACAACCAAATCGAGTTGCCCTGGGGTTTGCTGAGTCAGCGAAAGCCTAGCGCGAAGCTGGGCGAATCTGACGAGCCCAACTTCAAAAAAGTCAACGTTCCTCTCTCGATACCCCAAGGGCAACCTTACTAAGGTTGAACAATTTGGGCCTTGAGCTTTAAGAAAAAAGGTCCACCTTTTGCTGATAACAAGTTTAGTGTAAGGAATTTTCCTTAATTCCTTATCGGGCTCGACTAAACTTGTTATCAAGAGACAGTTTTGGGCTGTTATCAACTTTAGGAAGGTTGAGGCAGTTTTGGGCTGTTTGGGACTCCGGTTTTAAGGGATAAGTTTATAAAGAGTTGTTGATCAACGCGAAGGTCAACGGTCGAAGACAGTCAACGGTCGTGACACTTGACTGACCAGTAACCGCACGAGGCAGTTACGAGATGCAACGTGGTAACTGTCTAGAATGACAATAGACGTGGTAACTGTAGCAATGTTATTCAGTTAATAAGGGAATGTACCCCTCATAGTACATGGCTAGCTAGGATTGCTATTTATATTCCTGCACTCATTTGTTATAATCATATTGTTCTTCCAGATTCTATTAACAAGGTCATTACAGAGACTTCTTAAAGTTCTCTTGCATAATTAGCAAGCGTTATCCTGTCCACTACGATCCTTTAATTATAACAACATACTCGATGGTCAACAGTCGCGACCGTTGACTTCATGCGACTCTTGACCTTCAGGTGGCTTTCAGGCTGCCGCGTGCTCTTTATGAGCTTAACACGATACTAGTACAGAAGCTCTGCCTCGTTATGAAGCGATGCGCTTAGGGAAGCCTTCGGGAATGTCATAGTAACCATCGGTTATTCCAACACAGATCATGGTGGTAGTGCTGTTTTGCTGTTTTGTTACAATGGGCCAACAACTGGCTTGTTAATGAACGAATTGTACCTTGTTGTGAAAATGATGCTAAGGGAGGATACACTTTCAGCACCCTACGGGTTCTGCATCGCGCTGGTTATGTCAGCAGGTGACAGCACTTTCGCACGCAGCCCCAGCGCTACTCACGGACAGGCCTGTCGATTGACGGGCATATGCCCTTAATGCCCTGAAATTCAGGGTTACTTTCGCTCCAGCTCGACTGCATAAAGTGTTAGGATCGCCCTGCACCCGTGTCACCAAGTGCTTCGTTCGACCCTTCCCCGGATGCGTTAAGTGCTCCAACCAGGCCCTCCCCACCCACAAAGTTTTGATTTCCGGTTCTAGGACCCCCCCCCCCTTAGAAATTCTGCCTGACCCCCCCACTCCCCCCCCCCTTTCTCCTTAGGTTGCACGAGAGCGCGCCAAGGGGATTTTTCCCTTAGCGTTTTCTAGCCAATCCCGTGTTTGTGATATCTCTAAGTCAGCTTTGGAGCAGTCGAACTTTCCCTTAGCTAAGATAGTTAGGTGCAAGCCCGGATATCAAGTTTTCACTTTGGCCTGCGCCCGTGACCGTTAAGGGCGCCAAAACACTCAGCTACGGCCAAAACAGGGTCAGATAGGGAGGAGCTGGGGACTCCAAGTTTGGGCCCCAGGAACTTCGACAGGCCTGCTCACGGACACCTGCACTGCATCAAGGCGCCAGGTGCCCAGCAGGTTTTCGGATGCGGCTCGCAGGCAGGCACCGCCGAACATAACGGAGCATACACAGTATTCCGTCGTGTGGCTTCCACACACAGTGGCAAGAAACCAGGCGTGTTGGATAGAATTACCTGTAATTACTATTTTCGCGAAAAATGCAGGAGCTCCTGAAAGCGCGAATGGCGCAGCGAAAGCGAGGGGGAGGAACTCGCATGGCGCAGCACGACCCACCTGCGCCCTCCGTTTTCCTTCTATAAGAGCATCAAACGCTTCTGCTGTCTTCATTCTATTCGCAGCCGCGCAGACTCGCCTTGCTTTTAGACACTCGTGTATCATCACTCCATTCACGGTTCTCGGAATCGCCTCAAGTTCCACTAGCAACCCCAAGTTTCACGCCGCGGTTCGAATTGGCCCGGATGACGTCACTCTATTGCTCGCCGTCGCTCGACGTTAAGCGCCTCGCCGTCGTCATCGCTGGTGAGCCCACCGCGTCGCCTCGTTGTCCTGCCGTATCGCCCTGACATGTCACACGACGCCCCTGCCATCGCCTCGTCGTTCTGCCATCGCCTCGTCGTTCTGCCAGATCGTGTCGCTCGTCGCCCTCCATGTCATCTCGTCGCCTTGCATGTCCCCCTCGTCCTGTCGCCGCCTCCGAGGCGTCGTTCAGCATGTCATTCGCCTGGTCGTGTCATCTCGTCGCCCTCCCATGTCATCTCGTCGCCCCCGTTGCATGTCGCCTCCGTCACGAAGAATGGGGTGGGCCTCGAGGGACCGAAATTGATGTATGCCAGGGTATCCACCCATGGCGTTTCTCAGATGTATGCCAGAGGTATGCCGGAGCTGTCTCAAACCCATGTTAGCGTACCCTCAGCATCGCCACACGCGTGAAACCGCGCGAAGTGACACGCTCGGATTCCTCGGAGGAATGAAAGCCATTCTTTCGTCGCCCTGCCGTGTCGCTCCTGTCTCTCTGCCACGTCGATCGCCCAAGAGTCGTTGCGCCGAGGTACATCGCGCGCCGGCGGGTCTGCATCATTGATAGCCCCACACGCGGGCCTTCGCCTCCGCGCTTCCCTCCCCCGTAGCGTCCCCACCTGTCCGCACAAAATCGCACCTCTTCTAAAGCCGCAACTCTCGTGACCGCGAACCCCCATCCTTCGCTCCATTGTTTCCCCATGCTTCGCTCCATTGTTTCCCCCATGCTTCGCTACACTGCTTCCCCCCATGGTTCGCAAAGCACTGTTTCACCCATGCTTCGCAACACTTTCTCCCCATGCTTTGCTACGCTGTCTCCCCCATGCTTCGCTGCACTGTTTCCTGCACACCCCCTTCCGTTGGCAGCACTGCTCTCGCTCTCCCTCTGCGGCGCAGCGCGCGACGTCCATCGTGTGCTGCAGGATGCAAGCCACGGCCTCGACACTGGAACGGTCAGCGGCAGCACGAGTGGCAGCAGCACGAGCGGCGGCAGCGGTGGCAGCATAAGCAGCGGGAGCACGGAACTCGAACTTTTTGAAGCTGTAAGCAGTGAACCCGAACTTTTTGAAGCTGTAAGCAGTGAACCCGAACTTTTTGAAGCTGTAAGCAGTGAACCCGAACTTTTTGAAGCTGTAAGCAGTGAACCCAAACTTTTTAAAGCTATAAGCAGTGAACCCGAACTTTTTAAAGCTATAAGCAGTGAACCCGAACTTTTTAAAGCTATAAGCAGTGGACCCGAGAGCAACAGCAACAGCAACAGCAGCAGTTCTGGCAGCAGCTCTGACTCCATCAGCACGGGCAGTACCTCGAACTCCATCAGTGGGGGCAGCACCGCGAGCACAGGGCCGACTAAAAACTCCATAAGTGGAGGCAGCACTGGGAGCAGCACCACTGGGAGCAGCACTGGGAGCAGCACTGGGAGCAGCACCACTGGGAGCAGCACCACTGGGAGCAGCACTGGGAGCAGCACCACTGGGAGCAGCACTGGGAGCAGCACCACTGGGAGCAGCACCACTGGGAGCAGCACCACTGGGAGCAGTACTGGGGGTACCGGCGAGTCGAACAATGGCGGAAAGAGCGTCACTGTAGACCTTAATGCCCCCATCAGATGTGAGTTCATGAACATGCACATCCACATGCACATGCACATGCACATGCAAATGCATCAACCCCAACCACCTCATGGCGCTTGTCTCCTTCTACTGCATACCATTTTCTGCCTGCTTTCACTGTTCCTGATGCCTCTATGACTCAACTGTCCCCTCGTCTGCCCGGCGTGTCCCCTCGTCTGCCCGCTGCAGACCGAGCTTCCTCAGAGCTCGGCTCACAAACCAACATGGGCGCCAGGTTCATCGTTGATGTGAACATGTGAGTGCAAGTCACTCGCTCCCTTTCTAATCGCATGATGATCGCAACCTCTGCGCACATGTTTCCCATTCCAGTTTCTGAAACTTCTCGCCTCCAATGAACTTAATTCCCCCTTGCGCCTGTGCTCTGTCTTGTCTCACCCCTACATCTCATTGCTCCGTCTCACCCCTACATCTCACCGCTCCGTCTCACCCCTGCATCCCTCTCCACCCATTCACAGCACATCGACGCAGCAAAGGGCGCTCTTCATATTCACCGTGACAAACGTGCCGAGGACCCCAGCGCCAGTCTTCTCCAACTCCTCCTACCACACCAACGCGGGCCACCTCGTGGCAACGTTTGCATGCGTGCCCAAGCCCATCACCATACTCGGCATCTACATTTGCACCGCCAGTTCTCTGGCCAACATCACGGTGCCGTTCAAGCCGGTGAACAGGCCCAAGGCGCTGGTGGATGCGGGGTTCTTCTCGAATCCCTCCGGCTTCTACTCCACCATCACTGTGAATGGCGTCATGCTGCGCGGTGGCATCACCGCCTCTGTTGCTAACCTGTGATAACCCGGGCCATGCCTTGTATTGTATTTAGGTGTTAGCTTAGTTTGAAGTGTAGGATACAGATGTAATGTGTTATATCTTTATGCAATATCAGGGTGGGTCAACTCTCGCAATGGTCTCACAACCCTGCTAGCAATAGTGCACTCCGTTCTGTGGTGCAGCGCAGGTGAACGTTATGCCGGCAGGGGCGCAGGGAAATCACCGCCAACAAGAGTGCAGACAGCCGGGCTGAAAACACTTGAATGCGACATTACAGGCAACAATACAGCGGGGCTCATCCCTTGCGAGTCACGGCCCGCTCATCTGGCGTGTCCCATCAGTGTTGTCAGAACATTTTATTAGGTGAGTCAAGCAGTCAACCCAAAGGTTTACTTGGCTCTGGGACCTGTGGGACGCAGCGTTGCACATGTGCCAAGGGCGGTGGTGGTGGGCTGTAAGGTGGTCAGCAGTGAGTAAGTGTGATGAGAGGGTGCGGAGAGATGCATGGGCCTAAAGAAGATGGGGCGAGTTGGTGGTGCTGAAAGCGTGCAGCGAGATGGATGCAGGGAGACTAGCAGCGAGGTGGGGCTGGAGGGACTCTGGGACCTGTCGAGGAGAGGGGGCCGAGAAAGGAGAGGGGCAGAGGGAGAGGAATGGAAGAGGTGTTCGGAGCTGGTGAAAAAAGGAGCCGCCCCAACAGGCAGCACAGGCCCTTGATTATGGGCTCACCCAGAGGGCGGTGGAAATGCCAAAGGGCTCGCTCACCATGAGGTGCTGCAGGCGCGGCATGGTGCAGATGAAATCCCCCACGCTGCCTGACCAACCCGCCACCACGCCTCCTCTGCCATCCCCCCCTGCTCCCTCCCCGTCCTCCACATGCCCCCCATGCCCTGCAGGTACGGTCTTCAAAGGTCTAGTTGCTGCGACGGGAGTACCTCCTGCTGCTGCAGTGGCATCCTGTGGCATGCGGTCCGTGGCAGCAGCAGCAGCACCACCCGGAACACCAGGAACACTCGGAACACTCAGAACACTCGGAACACCCGGAACCCGTGGCAGTGGTGTGCTTGACTGCCTGTGGAGAGGGTAGAGAGAGGGGCATGAGGGCAGTGGGATGAAGAAAGAGGGAGGGGCATGAGGGCTAAGTTGGAAAAAACGCGTTTCGCGTTTAGTAGTACGCTTTCGTATAAACGGTAGCGTCTAAACGCAAAACGCTGGCTGGGAGGGGTCTGGTACGCACAAGAATCCGCTTGCCCGGGCAGGAAAAACATTTCCCCCGGGCAGGTTAGATGCTAGGCCAAGAGATGGAAACGGGAGCTGCTGTAGTAGTCCACTACCTAATTGCTGCTTTAGTAGGTCATCGTCGCAAGTGAAATAAGAAGGGGAGGAAGAAATCAAACGGAGAGATTATCGACGGAAAAGCGGCCTGACATTGAGCGGGGAGGATGAGTCTGGTAGAAGTTGGCAACAAATTGGATGGGGTGGAGTGGGTTGTTGAGCGGTGGATAGGAGGGGATGATCAACCAAACAATCTCGAAATTCAGATCTGAAGTCGCATTTGCAATTCGCGAACTCAGGTCTGAATTTCGAGACTCAAATTTGAGCTCGCCAGATCGCGAACTCTAACTGATTTTTTTTTCCGGTCAGCCCGAGAGAAATTTGGCTAATTTAAGGAAAATCCGCAGCGTACGAACTTTAGATGCGTATAAACTCAATACGCAATCTCAAAGTAGCGTTTTTTCCAACTTAGCACGAGGGCAGGCAGTTGGCTCACGGAAGCAGCATGGTGTTGATCAGATGGCACAAGCATAGCAAGCGAGCGACACAGCACCTGTGAGAGGGTAGCAGGCAGCATGTGGCGACGTGTATGGCGAGCGGTTGAAAGGGGAAATGGTCATTGGCACGTCGTCAGGATGAGTCTGCGGGGGAGAAGGGCAACGGAGAGAGGGGATGGAGATTAAGGAAGGAAAGATATCAACAGGAAGGGTGAAGGGGCACGGAGAGCAAGTGGTGATACGAGGAGGAATGGTGTGCAAGGAGAGTGTTGGAATGAGTGACTGACAACAGGCTATGCTTGTGATGAGAGTCATTAAATGACGCAACGCTGATGCAGATCCAGCCCCAATGATGCTCCACTCCACATTAGGAGGGTACCTCGAGCAGCAGCCGAAGCGCACGGCAGTCGTCGCCCCACAGGTGAATCAGATCCACAGCCGGGCCCACACGCAGCGTGGAGTGGGCGGCAAACACAACACACGGGCCGTGGAGAAGGTTCCTGGAAGGTCGGAATGGCCCCCAGGTGAAGATCAAAAGGAGGCGAAAGAGGGTTGGGGGGTGGGTGGTGAGGAAAGCTCGATGGTTGGAGTCCGAAGAGAGGAGGAGAGGGAGGAGAGGAAGGAGAGGGAGGAGAGGGAGGAGAGGGAGGAGATGGAGGAGAGGGAGGAGAGGAAGGAGAGGGAGGAGACGGAGGAGAGGGAAGAGAGGGAGGAGAGGGAGGAGAGGGAGGAGAGGAAGGAGAGGGAGGAGAGGGAGGAGTGGGAGGAGTGGGGAGAAAGGGAGGAGAGGGAGAAGAGGGACGAGATGGAGGAGAGAGAGGAGAGGGAGGAGAGGGAGCAGAGGGGGAATGGGGAGGAGGGGGAGGAGAGGGACAAGAGGGGGGAGAGGGAGGAGAGGGGGAATGGGGAGGAGGGGGAGGAGAGGGACAAGAGGGAGGAGAGAGAGGCTGAGGACGCGTCACATGGGGCAATCAATCGTCCAAAATCGTTCCGCCACCGCGCTGTAATCACGCTTATCGCATCCCAATTTTCCAGAACCTTTTCCCAACCCCGCGGAAAAGCGATCCTGAGGACGGCCGATCCTGACAACGTGGCATCTCGTGAGCTCACCACATTGTTGGTGCAACCCCACGGTTTGCACTCGGCTTGTTGTCGGTGTGCATGCATGCGTGTGTGCATGGAATGGAATGAGGGCATGGGATAATATATATTTCATGCTTATAATATTGTGTGAATGTTGAGTCATGGTGTCGAATGTGTGTCGAGTCAATAGCGAGTTATCGCTAGTCGTGTCCCGCGCGGTTTCTATCTGGTCGTCTATGTGTCTCGCGCGGTTTCTATTTTGTCATGTGTCGAACGTTCGGCGTGTCGCAGGTGTGTGCAGCAGACCCATGAAGAACTCAAGGATGAGTTTGTGGCAAAGAACCAGAGCCTTGGTGTCAAGCCTCAAGTGATTTCGAAGCTCGCCAAAAAGGTACACTTCAAGATGTTGAAGATAGTTACATTACAATGTGTAGTGTAACGTTTATGTTGGTGTAGACCCTTGTGGAGGGTAGTTTCGAGACCCTTCTTGGTTGGAGACAGTGTGGCACTGTTCCAAATCACTGTACCTCGGCTCTTGGGGTTTGTAGGAGCTGGGAGTCATTCCCAACTCGCAACTCTTCATAAGTCTTCCTATCTTGTGTTCTAAGACTATAGTGGCTGCCATAGTGCCGTTCGTTCAAACCGACGCTGTGTCATCAATACTTGGTGAAATGGTGCGACCTAAATTGCCTATTGTAGGCGACATTAAGACGCTCCAGATCCAAGTTGAATCAGGTCATTTGAAGCTGTGACCAGAACGCTATGAACGTTTAAAACTGCTGTGCAGAAATCCGACTGTGCACTCTCTTTCGTTTTAGGCACATTGAAGCCTAGTGTGTCTATAACACATATGTCGTGGGTCCACGGAGAGCCGCGCAAAAAGAGGGTGATTACGAGACGTCTCAAAAACACCCTCATTGAATGTGACGCGCCCAGAGAGAGCTCACCACAGGTCGTGGCTCCATGGACAGCCGCGCGGCCTCTTCGGTGCTGCGGGCCTCCCACTGCCTGCCTCGCCCTGCCGCTCCTTGCTGTGCAGCATGGTGGGCGCGCAGGCTGGAGGGAGGAACACCACGGCTCCGGGCAGTTCCACCATGCGCACCCCCATGGTGGTGCCAGTGTGTGCGCCCGTAGGGGAGAATTGGGGTTAGCAAGGTGGGTGGTGGAGGGGTGAGAGAGGAGCGCACTGCTGATGGCGTGGACGGGCTGGCCTGAGAAGAGCTGTGGGTGGGAGGAGGATAGAGGGAAGGGAGAGAGAACAAAGGTGTGAGGTGTGTGCGCAAAGGAGGATGTGTGTTGTGTTCCAAGGAACATATGGCAGCGGTGGGAGAGACACGCGCGAGCACAAGTGAGGGCATTAGGACGTGTAGCAGAATAAGTCAAGAGTTCCTATGCACAAGCACTCACGGACATATATTTGTGCACACACACATGGCCGCACACACACAGCCACACACACATAGCCACACACACATAGCCACACACACACAGCCACACAAATCCCCACGAACACACCCACACAAATACCCACACACATACCCACACACATACCCACACACATACCCACATACATGCCACACATATACCCACACACATGCCATACATTTACCCACACACATGCCACACACATACCCACACACATGCCACACATATACCCACACTCATGCCAAACACATACCCACACACAAACTTACATACATGACACACACACCAATACACAGATATGCATCTACACAAACCTTCACACACACACACATACACACACACACACACACACACACACACACACACACACACACA